GGGCCCCAGGTAAAATTAGTGAGAACGAATTGGATGTTTTGAATCTTGCGGGTAAGAGCAAGTCGAGATGCTCCCCGGACTGTTTCTTAGAAACTTTGATTTTGAAAATCTGACGGGTAAGAGCAAGTTGAGATGCTCCCCGAACTGTTTTTGGACAAAAATGGAATTTTTGAATCTTGCGGGTAAGAGCAAGTCGAGATGCTCCCCGGACTGTTTTTTAGAAACTTTGATTTTGAAAATCTGACGGGTAAGAGCAAGTTGAGATGCTCCCCGGACTGTTTTTGGACAAAAATGGAATTTTTGAATCTTGCGGGTAAGAGCAAGTTGAGATGCTCCCCGGATGTTTTAGAACTTTGGTTTTGAAAATCTGACGGGTAAGAGCAAGTTGAGATGCTCCCCGGACTGTTTTTTGGAAAAATGTTGTATTTTTGAATTAACGGGTAAGAGCAAGTTGAGATGCTCCCCGGACTGTTTTTAGAAACTTTGATTTTGAAAATATGCGACGAGTAAGAGCAAGTTGAGATGATCCCCGAACTGTTTTTGGAAAAATGTGGATTTTTTAATCTAACGGGTAAGAGCACGTTCAGATGCTCCCCGGACTACGTTAGAAACTTTGATTTTAAAAAATCTGACAAGTAAGAGCAAGTTGAGACGCTCGCCGGACTGTTCGAAACGCTTTGATTGTGGAAATCCGGCAGAGAAGAACAAGTCCCCGGACGGTTGGGAAAACAATGATTTTGAAAATCCAGCGGGTAAGAGCAAGTTTAGATGCTCCCCGGACATAAAACTATGTTTATCGGATTTGGGAGAGCATTGGTAGATGCCACCCTCCAAGAAGTAGACGGAGTCCTTCTGTCTTTTGTCCCAATATAGAGTGGTCACCTCTGTGTGAATCGCGGAAGCAACCCCTGTGTGGGCCCATGTTTCCTGCGATAAAATGAATATTCCCTTCACACGTGTATGTCAGCCAACACAGGCGGCACAATGTTTGCAACTTGTGTAGAACAATCCCAGGTTTCAGCAAACAAACTTGAAACATTATGTTGGCTCGCGGGAACCTCACATCTTCTGATCCGATTTTCACTAAAAAAATTTTGCTATACCCCAAATTTTGTTTTTCCTCACCTCTCGTTTAACTTGTGCCGACTTCTGAGTACGGTTGAATGGGGGTGCAGTATCTTTTGGCGTTTTTTCGTTATCTGTTAACGAAAAAAGACAAAAAGGAGACACAAATTTCTTTCATAAAAGCCCTTTCAGCAGCTTTCTGTCCCTGATCTGGTGCCACACATGGTGGTCGGAAATGGTTCCCACCAACCAAATTAATTAGGGCCAGAACAGCGAGCCTTTCACCGCTGGCGTCAGTCGAGTTGACTCAGCAACTTCGTAACGACCTTTCACAGCGGGTGCGTTGGTCGCACCAGTCCCCGAGCGGTCGTTCTTCAACTCAGGTTGACACTTGAATAGATCACAGCTACCCTCAGTCGAAAACCGGCCTGAGAAGTACTAGTATGCAACTGAAGAAAGTATGCCACGAGGGATCCTACGGGATCAAGTGGCCAGGAGACCCGAGAAGGAGAGCCAGGGGGACAGGCTGTGAACGCAGCGCAATAACAGCAGGGATTTCAAGCCGGTGTTCTGAAGAGGAGTGAAGGACGAGAGATAAGAAAAACCAAGGGGCACAATGACACTTAATGTACGATTTTGACTAGCGAGAGGTGAGGAAAACCAAGGGATACGATGATACATTACTGGATGTATTTGACGGAAACGATTAAAACAGGAGATTTCTGAAGGTTGATATGGACTGCATTTATTTGGTGTACGCAGGTTACATGGGAAGACGGTGCTAAGGGGGGATTCTCTATGCACGAGGGTAAAGTAAGCGATGGTGAGAAATGGAGTGGCAGAGTAAAGGAAAGGGTGAGTATTGGAGGAGAAAAATGTGAGTATTGGGTGTTAGAGCAGGGAAGGACTTGAGGAGAGGATACGAGAAATGTGGGGGCAGGTAAAAGAGGAAAGAAGGCCCCAGTACAACTCTCATATCTTATCCCGAGCAGAGAGCAAAGTGACGAGGGATTTGGTACTATCCCGAGTTGCTTTGCGCGCAGGGAGGGTAAGATAGCACGCACCCCCCATCTGGTGTCACTCTGTGGTCGCGGGTAGGATAAAGGGGACCGAACCATTGCGCATCCCGGGGAATCGGTAGGGGAGACGCATGTCAAGTTTAAAAAAAAAAAATCCCCGCGCAACGACCCAGTCATTTTGCCTCTGTTTGGGCGCTAATGGCCTTTCGCGGCCCCAGTAC